CTGTGTCTGTATCTGGATATTGAGCATTTACAAGAAATACCATCAACAAAGAGAATGATAACATTGGCCCAGTTTATTTTGTATACATCTATTATCTGCCCTGACCCTTTTCAATGAAGTGCTACGAGACTATAAAATGGGTATATCATTATGGAAGTTGAAGTTGGTTCATCATGCTTTGGATACAAAGGCCTTATTTCACTGATCTAAAGAATGGATACAATTTAAATCCCATCAAATTCTTGAAGCCATGTGAGAAGGATCAGATTTAAACTTAATTGAATAAGAAAAAGCAAAAGTAAAGCTTGTTAAAGCTTTACTGTGAAGTACAGAGCTGTGAAGTTATTAGACTGAACCATCAAGTGGACAGTGGTTCCTTGCTATAACGTGGTTCACCTTTGTCGGTTTCGATGTTTTTTTGCATGCTTTTTATACAGCATGCCTCTCAGGCCCCACATGTTTACTACAACAACATCAACATAATAAAACTGTTTGTATAGCATTCTAGTTAACAGTTAACTTTATTCAAAGTTATTTTGTGGCTTGTGTGCACCGTGTGTGCACCACATGTGCACAACTTTTGACAGCTGCAGCAGCGCTCAGACCTACAACCAACAGGTGTTTTATCTGCACAATCGCACTTCAGCAGTCGTGAGTTCTAGGTGGTTAGAATGTATTGTAAGTGTGTGGTGAGAGGTTTTACAACGTTAAAACACAAAGCTGCTACTTTGTGGATTTTGCCTTTTGTAGGTTACTTTTTTTTAACATAACCCTTGTTTATCACGGAAACCGGAAACAAGGGACCTCTGTATCACCATCTTTGGAAAATGCACTGATGTCTTCTTTTAAAAATCGCACTAAAGTGTCTCGTCTGATATGCTCCATCTTTTCCTCAAGCTCAGTTGTTCAAACAAATTAAAAACTCACTCAGGTACTATCCTGGGAAAATCATGATCAAATCTTTCCCATCTTTTCCAATTGACTTAATGAAAGTTCAGCCAAATGTTTTTTTGTGTGTGTTGATGTAAAAACTGCACTTCCAGCTCAGTCTCGCACAAACAGGACTGTCCACCTGCTTTTCAACACACCTAACTACTGTACGTGAACTGCAGTAACCACTTCAGACAGAGGCCAGAGTGTTATTGATGGATGGGTCGAATGCAGAGGACAATTTTCACTACTTTAATTAAAGTTATTCCTCACCTTAATTAAATCCACTTTTTCTATTCAATTCGATTCAATGTGTTTCTGTATACAAAAACACATTGTGAAAAACATGTGGTTGTTGCCGCATACCAAAAACTGAGAAATGACATTCAGTTCTTTTAAATATGTTTAGGAAAATGTTCAAATTTCTGTGCTCACAAGTCGCAAAGCCCTACTTGGAAAACCCCCTTGTTTGCAGCAATGTTATGTAAGAGAAGAGATGCTGTAAGAAGAGTCAGTGGTGTAAAGAGGAGCTCTCCCTCACGTCTGACCAGCGGCGGCCACATAAACACACGACACACTGTAAAATCATACAGGAATGTCTCGCTCCTGGAACTGAAAACATTTTTACAGCGTGCGTCACACAATGATTTCTACAGATGTAACACGTTCACCTTTAACACAGTAATGGTTCAGGGAATTGAATATACTTTAGAGATTGGAGCTAAAAATAGGCTACTGTAATTAGAGTCTTCCCCAATAATGACCAGTATAAAGACTATTTACTGTCTCGTTTTATTGAAATCAAATCCAGTCCATAAATGTACAGTGGTCACGTGCGTTACGGTCTATAAATAAAACCCTAAGTGAAATCCACTGTTCCCCCCACACCTTAAACACTTTTCTAACCTCCTGAACTCACGACTGATTCTACAATTGGGTTGTGTTGCTGCAGTGCTCTCAAATCCGAGCTTTGATTTACACATACACATGCTCGGTGTGTATACTTAACCGTTGAGCTATCCTCCGGTCAAATTGACCCGATACAGTGATTAAAAAATACCCTTATATGAAAAACGTTTGAGCTGAATTTTGATGATTTTTCCTAACTTGACCAACCCTCTTTCTTTTAGACCCTTTTAGACCCTCATTTAGGGTATTTTCTTCTATATGTAATCCCTATCCTTGGGTAAAAATGACACATAGCACAAGGGTTAAAAAACATATCACATTTAAACAAACAATGGTATACTATGACACTCACTGTTACTGTATGTAAAGTCTGAAGAAACTTCCGTGGTGATTAGTTCAGAGGATGTAATGCTCCAGCCCCTCAGTGCAGTGTTCATGGTCCTCTGCGGTTTGGTTTTACAGTGTAGTTTAAAAGAACAAGAAAAATTGTAGCCAGAACATACGCATTATTATTGCGTTGACGGCTTAAGTAATTACTGTATTACTTCAGTTTTTTGTCTCGCAGGTCACGTGGTCCTGCTTCAGTGCTTGTCTGCATATTGTAATATATTATATCTCATTTAGATTTTTTTTTTGACTGGCCTAAAACCACACTTGACCAAAGTAAACAGATTCTTGACATAGATACTGGAAATGTCAGTTGTGAGATATGACAACTTTCAATGATGCAGTGCTCTACAGAACAGTAAGACAAAAGGAACTCATAAAATAATATAAATAGCCGGTAAATTATTTAGGTGTGATTATTTTTAAGATTTGCAGACCTTATGACCTTAAACACAGAAGCTCATCCATGACTACCGGCCTCTCCTGCACTGGATTTGTGAAAGGTTCTACTGTCAATCCATCACCTGAACTTTCAAACAATATTTGTGTCACGTCGCCCTCCAGTCTGCAAATGTGATCCATCATCCTTTTATGTTATGACTTCTGTAAATGTTGGAGTAATATGAACGTCTTTGTGCTGCTGCGTCGTTTGAATAGTTCTGCCATGGTGTGGACTTTTTGTTAATATATTTATGTTTTAAAGAAAATGAGTTATCTTCTTGTTTGAGTTTTAATTCCTGTCTTTCCTTTTAATTGTTTGCCCCACTTGGGTTACACCTGTGTCTCCGTATTGTTTTTCCCCACATCTTGTCCCTGGTTTTTGGACTTATTTTCCTTGTGGCATCTATTCATTTTATATTTTTTGCTGTTCTACTTTTGGATCTTTCCTTGTATTTATCATGTGACAAGTTCTTATAAAAAGTGATTATTTATGTGCTTTGGAGAACCTACTGATCAGCCGTGATGCATACATTATAAATACATTCAAATGTTGTATGCCTGGTAATAGTTTTAAATGGATTGTGCTATACGCATTTATAATACACCTACATCCTAAATCTACCTAAATCACAACAGCAGTCAACTCGGAGGACATTACTAAGTTATTGATTTGCCAACAATAGATCAGAAAATCAAAGACTTTGAACATAGAAAATGCGACAATAACAAACACAAAAAATCCATTGGTCCAAAGGGCGTGTGATAAACAACGTCCATAAATGTTTAAAATCCATTGGTCCAAAGGGCGTGTGATAAACAACGTCCATAAATGTTTATAAAGGTGCATGAATATCAGATTCATTGAATTATTGAAGTTAATAAATTGTAAACTCAAAGGAATACTTTCCTTGAAATGTGTTCTTGTATCGTAAAGCTGTACATTTCATAGGATATTAACAAGTATAGATCAGAGAGTCTAATCGGTTGGGATGGACATGATCTTAGTGTATTTAAAAAAAAGAAAATGATTTCATTGATAAATCATGACATTTTCAATAGTATTCTTTCCAGAGAAAGCACCTGATTGGCTCTTGATATCGGGATACTATTAGATAAGGTCCGGGGCTCAGAGTGAGCTCATGCTGGCTATTAGTAAAGGCCCATTGATGAGACTCATTCATTTATTTTATTTATTGCTAGCCCTGTCTGATGGGCTATGTGATGGGCCTGTCTTTTTTGATGGATGATATTTTGCCTGTAAAGATAATGATTACAATAAACAATGCAAGTACTTTATGCCAGTGATGCAATTACAATACAGCAGGATAATTCCACTAAAGCAATTTTAAATGAACACATTTCACTAAAACAATACCACTGTCAAAACTTACCCTTTGTGACAGGTGATCGACTTGAATGTACAAAATAAACAGTACATTTTAGGGACCAGGTCTGCAAACTAGCTGTTAGCTATACGGCCTATGAACACAGCATCGGTTCCTGTAACAATGCTTCTTGTTCTGTCCCTATCAAATAAACAAATAATAATAATAAGTAGAAAAATAAACAGTCTATTTAAAACTGTTATTGTTTAATTGAAGTTACTTCTCGCAGCCCTATAAGGAAACGTTTCCCCTCCTCTCAGTGCAGAGTTTTGTCCACATTTTTGGGAAGCCTTTCCATACCTTTCCTTGTGTCGTAAAAGCAGACAACAGTTAGTTCATAGGACTCTGGCCTGGAGCCAGCTCTGCAGCTGCTAAACAAAATGTCAGCAAAGACGGTCTGGTCTTCTTCACACAGCAAAGACACAACCACTATGTTTCTCTGGAAAAATAGCCCCTCTAATTACCGGGAGATCTATTTTCGACCCCTCTCCAAACCATAAATGACACTCAAACATGCATCCCACAGTAGACGCCTTGTTTAACCTATTAGTCATGTGAAACATTAATTTGTCTAAATTTTTTAAGAATTGTAACATTCTGTTGATACTGCTTGGGTTCTTCAGGTTAACATTTTTCCTTTTTAAAAAACAAGAGCAATGAAATCAATACATGATTTGTTCACGTAATCATCTCTCTAGTCTGAAAATAAAAAATGCAGAATATTTATATTTACCACAGTGAAATTAGTTGGGGTGACAATGTACAATTTTCTCCATTAATCCTTCATAAAGAAGGTTGTGTACTATTCTGGTGGTATTCCAATCTTGGCGTATAACTTGAATTATTACCTATTTTTTGTTGAATGTTTACATATACCTTAAAACAGTCTGTGACATGTATTTAATCATGTATTCTAACCACATTTCTATCTCTTTTTCTCTCTTCCAGTCTGTTCGAGCATAGACATCAGGAACAATGTGACAAATCTACAGCGTTTGGAGAACTGCACCATCATTGAAGGCCATCTAAAGATCTTGTTGATGTTCAGGACCAAAGCAGAGGACTTCCGCAGAATTAGTTTTCCTAAACTTACCGTGGTTACAGATTACCTCCTCATGTTTCGAGTCTATGGTTTAGAGAGTCTCGGCGACCTCTTCCCCAACCTCACCATAATACGCGGAAACTATTTATTCTTCAACTACGCCTTGGTCATTTTCGAGATGATACAACTCCGTGAAATCGGCCTCCACAGTCTTATGAACATCACACGAGGAGCAGTAAGGATAGAGAAGAACCCAGATATGTGCTACCTTGCCACACTGGACTGGTCGAAGATCGTGGATTCGGTGGGAGACAATAGCATCGTGTTCAACAAGAACGATAAAGAGTGTGGAGACATTTGCCCCGGGGCAGCTGTGGGTAAGACCACCTGCCAGGCCACCACCATCAACGGACACTTCAGCGAGCGATGCTGGAACCAGAAGCACTGTCAGAGAAGTAAGTCACTATAACCTCTCGCTAATCTTTGATGTCTTAGAAACTTCAATAAAATGTTGGTAGACGTTGTCAAACAGTTGAGGTGTATGCAATCAAAATGTTGAGTTTGCGATATCTGCAAAGAATTAAGAGAAGTGTGAAAATTTGAGAACGTTTATGTTAAGGTATTTAGGGAGATTTTTCGACCAATCACGGATCCTCTTTTGCTGCACTAACTAATGTCCGGCTGCAGTAGAACGCAGTTAGCAGCTAATGCCGGTCACTTTTGGTGCAAATAGAAGCGCTGCATGCGAAGTACCGCGTCTGTGTGAGTCCCTGAGATAATGTGAAAGACACTAGAGGGCCGGCATAGCACTAGGCGAAAGACAGGAGAGGATCAAAATGGAAATAGAGTGGCCATGTGTAAATGAGAGGTGGGACTTGTGGTTAAATCCCCCTAAATACATTTTAGTCTTCAAAATTAGGCTTCATTATTTGAAGTAATAACATTTTATTGGAGTCAACTTTTTCTTACTAAGGTTTTGTCATTGTTGAAACTGATTACTAGCCAATGGTAACCAAACTATGACAAGGCCTGAAATCTATTTATTTACATACACAATATACAGTTTATAGTTTTGTGCATGCATATCCTGGTCCTTTTTTATTGGTCTTTAAATATGGCAAGCTGGAGTTTCTCTGTGAATGAAGGCATCCTTATGGCACATATCTGGATTTATAAGGACAATATCAAAAAACATAAACAACAGGATCACAGAGAGCACTAAACCAGATTTTATAGCCCAAAATGGTGAGTGTCATGGTTGTTTATCAAATAATGAAATTATTATCCTGATCTTTCTGGGCATTATCTGCATATATCAAAGTCATGTTAAGATAAGACTGTAATAATAGTTTATCTTTTCCTCCAAAGCTCATTGTGTTATGTGTTGAAACATGTGCAGTCATTTCTATAACGACTGCAAACATTGGACCGGTCGGACACGTGGAGCCCCGGATGGAAATAATTCAGTCTGTGTGAATATATAAACAAAGAGAAACACATCTATGATTCTAATCTGCTGAACCTGTAAGACGAGAGAGAATGAGTTTATAGAGAGATCAAGAGTACTCACAAAAACTACAACCCAGGTCGAGTAACATGCGATGAAAACGGCAGCATAAAATTACTCATTAATTCAAAAACTGCATTGACACATCCTTGAAGCTGAAAGACCTGAACATTTGTCCTTGCCAGCTCTACTTGGCAAAATTATAATCCATTTTTTATTACCTTATTATAGAGTTATAGTAACTTGGGTTTGGCTTGGCTCAAAAAATATCTAATGGCACGGAAAATACTATTGGAAATACATTTGAAATATTGTTTTATTAACAGTAAACGTCAAAATAATCACTTATTTTGTCCATTACTACATCAAGAGCTTATAGACCTGTAACATCAGGGGGGAAACACATTATTTCAATATATCTATGTTTCTTTTTGATATACTACTGACACAGACGTATTGATCCTTAGACTTAATTTTTATTGATCCATTTCACGACTCCCACTGATGACTGCTGTCGTTGTGTCCTTGGGAAAGACACTTAACCCCACTTTGCCTGAAGCCCCTGCTGAAAGATCTGAGCTCCTGTGGACTCACCACCTGCAGGAGGATCAGTGAGGGGCTGGTGCTCTGTGTACTGGGTGCAGCTCTGACTGCCACCCCCCCGACCCAGAAATGGATTAAGGGGAAGAAGATGGATGGATGGATGATCCACTGGGGAAACACTGTAGCTCAAAAAAGTACAAATCAAAATGGCAAAAAAGTTTAAACTTGTCAAAAGTTCAAAACAGGTGACATAAATTAAATGTCACATACAACAATAGTGCAATTAGAATACAGATCTAGTACAGATGAAAGATGGCATTGTTTTGCGAAGATTACTTTGCAGAGCCCGAACATATTATCAGTTTGATTATTAAATTGCCAGATTTTTATGTTTCTCTTTGGTTGTGATTATTATTATTAATGTTAAAAATGGTCATTCTCGTTTTGTCAAGCATTATCTCAGACAATAGAGCGATGTTATGCTCAATTTTAAAGCTCTGAATCTGCAGAGCTCACAATCCACGCTTCTATTATTGATGACTGTAAAAAGTCTATAAATTATTATCTTAACCCTAAGCCAAATCATAAACACACAATCACACTGTTGTCGAGCCAACATCAGTTCTGCTAACATGCTGTGTGTGAACATTTTAGAACGTTAGGGTGACTCTCTGTACTGTACCAAATCCAAGGTCGTCCCCTATTATTTTTTGTAAGTGTTTTGTTCGCCCTTAAATCGTTTTTATTCCTGTACCGTCAACTGAAACACCTGAATACGGGGTCACTCGAGCTACGTAGACGAGAGTGGGGTAACACACAGGAGCCCTATAGCTCAAAATGCGCTCTCGGGACGGTCAATGATGAACTGGCCTTTTTTTTTAACTTTCTCCATAAAGTCCCCTAATACTGATGTCCGCTCAGCAAATACTGCAAAAAACAGTATACTATACAATGCTATATATAGTGCAGTGTGCTCCTCTTTCCAACTTTCTAACTGGTGATGCAACACTGACATTTCCCCACTGTGGGACGAACAAAGGAACTCATAATCTTAATCCATTATTATCCAAACCACTAATCATTATTCATGTGTTATTGTAAAATTAGTACTGCACCATTTTCTTCCTCACTGCCTCGTCTCATAGACTCTTGAACTGTGCGGCTACATTGCGTAACTGCTGTTTACATTTGCCTCTCTGTGTGTGGTTTTAAAAGGCCCTTATCGTTAGCCTGCTGTTTGTTTGGTGCAGCTTACTCTACACTCTTTTACTACCAGATCTGCTTTTCTCTTTCAGCCTGATTAGTTAATGCAGTTTCATAGCCATCTCAATAAGCACCCAAGGACTCGTGTGTGAATGGTTGATGTGGTTAAAAGGGTTTGAATTTTGTTAGCTGGCCTGTCACAACAACTGAATTATTGTGTCAGTTTAAACTATAACTTTACTGATATGTTCATACAATGTGTACATTTTAACACAAATGGTTGCATAGGCAACTTAAGCTACAGTTTGTTTATTGTGTTTTTTATGTGTCTCGTAAAGGTAACATTTTGTGAACAAATCAATTCTCTTTTTCTATTTTCTGTCTGAAAAAGCTGATCAAAATATAGGTCAAAAACATATGTGAAAACTAGTGATAGAGGGAACAAGGAACTTGATAATATTATAACAATATAATAATAATATTTTTATGCTTTGGAAGTTTGGTGCCCCAGGTTTAATTAACAAAACAGTTCACTGGGATTATTAATATCAATGAAATAATAATCTAAACATGTTCTGCATATATAGACTTACCTCACTGTGTAACATTAAAAGTCATATCAAAGTACTATCATTACCCTGCCACCTTAGAAAGGTTTGAAGCATGTGCCAATGCATCACTTACAATCATGTTTATTCCGATTGGCTTGTAATTAGTCATCATCCATTGTGTAGTTGGCATCTTTTCGTATCCCTGGTCTTGGACTCTGGTTTTCCGACCTGCTTTGTGCCCAGGTCATGGTCTTGGACTCTGTGGTCTTGTGGTCTGCAGCTGTGGTTTGTGCCCACGTTCACCAAAGCATGAAAAGAGCCTGTTAAGCTCTGCTCTCGACCGCAGACTCATTCAGACCCTCCTGGTAATGGCTTTTATGGCACACTGTTGTTACGCTCCACTTTTCCAAAATTTTACTGCTTCCCTTGGTCCTCACTGCTGTAATTGTAAACACTAATTTGTGCATATTGATAGTATTCCAAATTTTCAGTGAACCAATGCTGGTGTTAGTTTGATTGTCTGTCTGCAAACTTTACTGCATTTTTATGCATGATTTTTATTGTTGTGCAGATTGAATTCCATCGGGTCATTCTGTCAAAAGCATTATGACCCATCTGATTTTGTATTTCGTCTTACATTATGCAAGTGATTGCTTCTTTAACTTTTTTTCAAAATGATTTCGTGCTTGGACTGAACCAAAAATTGACCAAAAGTAAGAAGTCTTTTCAGTTTGCAAGTGTGTTATTATTAGTCTTCGATGTTTTAAAAAAATATATTATGCCGTTGTTTTTGAGAATTTGCTTGAAGATGATGTATAACTTGTCATGGCCGCCTATAAACCTCATTCTATCAAAACAAGGAACGTTGCTCACTCATCCTTTGTACTTCAGTTAGCAGGTTTTCACAATGTTTCGTTCTTATCCAAATAACTTTTTCAAGGGAATCCATTGGGTCATTCTGTCATTTTCCCTTGAAATCCCTTGAAACAATTCTACCACATTCCCCCAGTTGGGAAACACTGCTTTAACTTACTGTAAACATTTAACAAACTAAAGGTACCTTTAATGGCAAAAAGAGGTTATTTAGGTTACTGCCCGATTGACGCTAGAATTGGACATCAATTCCAAAGATATGCTTCTCAATATATGTTCTCTCTCCGTTTGCTTCACTTCTTACCGAAAATGTAATTTAAGGTCAAAATATCTGTGTGTTCCTGTATGTAGAAGAGGAACAATGTTACAAACAGCCCCAGAGGTCACTCAGGGCCATTTCCAACACTAAACAAGACTTTGCAGTTCAGTCACAGCGCTGCTTTGACATCGGGGGCGGTTGGAACTGGTCGACAGAAGCCACCACTAATTTCCTCCGTCCTTTTGCACTAAATTGGGCGCGTCCTCTTTGCAAAGTAGTGGAGCGCGTTTGCAGGAGATGCTCATTAGAAAACGCTGATTAGATTTTCCTGCAGATAGAAAAACACTGATGCAAATGGAAGTCACCGTGTTCCAGGTTGTACAAGTGATTTTTGGAATAATTAGGTAAATATGATGTTATTTCAGCCCCTTTTAAAAATGTTTCTTTCTTTGGAATTATAACGGCGTCACCAATATGTTAGATTGTGCTGTTGTTTTGACAGCTGCGCATGATGATATG